TCCGATTCAAAAAAGAAAAAAAAAATCGAATAATATGTGGATCGTGTGTACGTTGTCATTTTCTTTATTCTTTTTAGTATTTCATCCACTGTCATCTGAACGGTTGCAGAACGTTTGCATTTTTAGAATTGCGCACAAGAATATTTACAAGTACAATATATATACAATAGTATTATATGTTCTGTAAAAAAATATACATATATGTTTATTATAAAATAAATAAACACGTGGCTTATTATGAGCGTCGACATAAATTTAACTTTGATAATATAGCCGCGCGCTCCCGCACACCACACACATTCATTCTTTCGACCGCGTAATTATTTGCGGACGCTGCATCCGATGCTGGCACATGTCGTTTCGTAATCTGTTTCGATTCCGTTATCGTCGAATTTGCTGATTTAGTCGTTTTTTGATTTGTTTTTCACTATACGTTTGTCATCATCAAATGATGAAAGGCGGGCCGCCTTTGCCATCGTTATGAGGTCGCAGAAATAAGCAATAACATCATAATGTATAACACAACTACACGAGACACTCAAAATAACGTTCGGTTTAACTTGTCGTTTGCTTATCTAATAATAGTAATAATAATAATAACAACAATAATATTCTATCAATCAATCTCAACAAAGTTCAAAGAACCATCCAAACCCTGACCTTTCCCCTCAACACCCCTAGAAAGTATGAGATCTGTATCAAAAAACTTAAAATAAGACATATATATGCCTTACTCACCTATATTTAATGAAGAAAAAAGATCTTCTTGTATCTTAATAAAATACAAAATAAATGAAAAGGAGAGAAAATTCAGAATCTCAAAAAATCTAGACTTATAGACGTAAATAGGGAGGGCTTGGGTGGGCTTAGCCCACCCTTCAGCCACTCAGGCCCACCTAAAATGAAATATGAATTGAAAATTTTAAAACAAGCAAGTTATTACAATAATACGTTTTTGTTCACTTATATCACAAAAGAACATAATTATGTATGATATGAAAAAAAGTGTTAATCAATATTGTATCGTATTTTAAAAATATTAAAATTGGATAATCTTCCTATTATAGCTCAATCTTAAGACGGAGCGAATGTCTCGCTTTAAAATGGGAGTATAGATTTTACTTGTTATAGAATATTATACAAATGCTTTTTACATATCCATTGTACATCGGTTAAATCTTTTCGTAATTAATATGTGCAAACATGTGAAGGTACTAAGACTACTAATACTTTTATTATTATATTATTTAACTATTTACATGAATTATTTATCAAAATTATATTTGGTATCACAATTATTTTATTAACTTCATGATTCATGATTCATGTGTAATTGTATTTAAAGAACTATTATAAACAAAATTTTAATTAATAGGTAGCTAAAATTCGAATTAATATTTTTTATTAGGTTTTATAAAAATTAAACACATTTTCAGTATTTTTAACCAATTTGCAGAAAACCTTAGAAAAATGCATTTATGGTAAATAAATATTATTTTATAAAAAATGTATTTTGTTTATAAATATAAATTTAAATTATGTTTCTGTATTGAAAATTTTGGTATTCATAATTTTAATATATTTACTTGTTTATTAAGGGGAGGGTGTAGTTCCATAACCCCTTCTCTCTATTAAACATTTTAAACATAGACTAGAGCTCATTCAATTTATTTTCTATATTAACGTCTATGAATCTAGTTGAAATAATAGACTTAAACAATTTTTGTCGGAAACACACTTCATCAAACAAATGTAACGCTAACATGCACATAAATTGACTCAATACAAATAATACTCTATATTATTACGTATGATGTTATTTAGTTTTACTTTATATTATCTAATAATAATGAATATTTATTTAGTAGTTTTGAAATTATTTACTGTATTGCTTTTAATTTATATTAAATATCTTGCTTGTCCTGTATAAGAGTATTAATAATGTATAATATTATAATATGGTATGTCCAATAGCCATAGATGCTAAAAATTGATTATAATAATAATAAAAAAAAGATATTAATATTAAAAGCGCTTATTATAACAGCTTAACGATCACGACTGAAATATAAAAATATATAAAAAATAATCTACATCGAAGATTCCGTATAACACTCATTGTATCCGGTCGAAGATCTTTTCGCAATTTAAATGCAGATAGATAAATACCTTTTGTACGATGCAACTCTGAATAATATTACAGAGTATGTAAATGTAGATATATTTATTTAAGTATTATGGTAGAGTAACGAAATGGTGAAAAATATCAACGCCCAGCAATAATGTGATTTACCAACGGAGATTTACACAAAAGTGTTTTTCTTCCCTGTAATATTGAACTTACTCATAGCCATTACGCCGCACAAGACTAATTTTGTCTGATTGTTGAGAACGCCTAATCGGAGAACGTGACAAAAAATCAAGAAACTGAAGAATTCTATTGACGATTGGCAATTATTAAAATGATACCCAGTTGATTAAAAAAATAATATCTGAATAGAAAACGAACGTAATTATCGTTGTTTTTAATAAATTTTGAAAAGAATAATAATATAATATAACGCTGCTGCCTATATGGCGAAGGCACACCGGTTTCATTATCGTTATGTATAATAATACATTTTTTTTACTTTACCATAAAAGTCCTGGAGCATAAAAACATATATAATCTATAAAGGTACGCAGTGGACGTGGTTCGTCGGTAAAACGAGTTCTTCCGATAATTAGCTCCGGCTTATTTTTCCTTTCATAAATATTAATAGAAAATTATACGTAGATATAACTACATTTTTTTTTTTTTTTTTTTGCCTTTTGCGCGCAAGACGTCGTAGTTGTTATTGGGTACTTATTATTATTACTTATTATTCACAATAATAATCAATAATGTATTTATACGCGTTATGTATTTAATCAATGGATGTATTACTTTTTTTCTCCCTAAACTTCACTGACCACCACGACGCGTGACTACCCAGTGAGTTGTACAGATTCCACCTGTTTACAATTTAACAATTAATATATTATGTTCTCTTGGGTAATAGGATTTTTTGTCGAATCACTCTTGCTTGTAAGCACCACAAACTATGATTTTTCAAAAAAAAAAAAAATTGTCAGTGGAGCTTCTAAAATCCCGTGAATCACGTGCTATTATGTGTAACGCATCTCGCGACCGTTTTGATAATCCCTCGGATTACTATTATATATTATTATTATTAAAATACCTACCTCCTGTTATATATATATACTCTTGCTTACGGCTATGAATAATATTGTTCGACGACAATTTATTCTCGTTAAAAAAATAAATAAATAAAAAACAAGATAACTCGCATAATATTTTGAAACGGGGTCGTAAATTTTGTGCAGAACGTTTCTACAGACTATATTATATGTGTAAGTTGTATTATGATATGCATGTGTAGGTATTATACAATCAAACGTTCCTGTACAATAATACACATTCGCATTTAATTTATTGTAATAATATTATTTTCGAATTTAGCGTCGGTGGTGACGATTTGAGACTACTGTAATATACGTAAGCGGACGACACAACAACGGCTGCAAATTTCCATTTTATTACCGACGGTTCCTTTTAAATGTTATCAGAAATGAATTGGTGAAGACGGTCGATCTTGTGTCGTATTATATTTATAATATTTAAGTACAATATTAATGATATTATATCATGTTGTATTTGCGATAATCCGTAAAAATGTCGTCGCGTTTCGTGTCTTTGAGGTCAGCGGTTGCGCGGAGACATAACCATGCGGACGTTCCGGTCCAATCGATTATAATATTTTAATAACCGTTGAGCGGTCTCGTATACTCGGGTAGGCAAACGGTTATTTTTCCTTTAATATACATTTATAAAATATACGAGCCAGAAAATACGTGTTTCTAAATTAATATAACGGCGGGTACGACGACGAACGAATATCCCTCAAACAAACACCGATGGGAAATATTTACAAAAGGAATTTTATACATATAATATATATATACATAATAATAATCGTCTTTTTTAATGGTAACGATTTTGAAATTGTCGTCTATAAGCCGCGAGGTATTATATTAATGCAGGGCGATCCTCGCTGTATTTATGGCGATGGGTGATTATTTCTGAAAATATGATATAAACGATGTGTTTAATTTGATTTTTTTCTTAATATTCATAATATTATACGGATTAGTATGATATTAAAAAAAAAAGTAATAAATATAATTGCAGTTACCAGACCATCACTCTTTAGATAAGTATAGTTTATTCTTATAATCGATTGAAATGAGCCTATAACGGTTTCAGAAATAATCTTCAGTACACCTATGAGAACGTTGCTGTAATACAAGCTTGATTGCTCACTATAAAAAAAAAATATATAACGTTATATTATTGGAGTTTAATTTTATGTCATTAATAATAATGCTATAATGTTGATAATTTAAAATATCAAGATGCGGATATATTTGTATAGATTATAGAAAATGTCTATATAAGAAGAAAAGTAGGAAAGGGTTAGATAACCCTAAATTAAATAGGATTGAAAACAATTTTGATAACGAAATTTCATGATTGAAATTATTTAACATAGGTTCTTTGATATTGTTTTATGGTTAAAAACAATATCAATGGATATACGGATGGGTTGAGTTTTTTGTAAGAAGGAAAAAGTTAAAAAAAAGGATACCGTAAGGTTTATTCATTAGGATTATGATCGTTAAGATGATTATTTTTTTGATTATTTAAGCGTTTGATAAGAGATTTATTTTTACTCTTAAAATGTAAGTAAATGGTATAATTTATAGTAAATTGAATTTACTACGAATCTTTTTATGTACCTACCGTTTTTTTGCTAACAAAATACTATCAAAAAACCTCTAAATCATATCATTATATTAAAATGTGAATTTTGAAAACCGTCTCCTTGGTTTTACTAGCATGCACTGCGCGTATTACAATATAATATTGATGGTTGTTTGTTGTTTTTGTGTTCCTGCAGGACGTAGGTTGCCAGGAAGCCTGTTCGTTCCACGACTGGCACGGTGGGTCACAACCCAGTCCTGTGGTAGAGGCCCGAGGCGAACGGGCACTGACCATCGAGTCGGGCACGCTACGTTGGCCGCGGCCAGCCGACTTGCTCTCGCCATCCGCGCAACGTCTCGTATACGTAATCATGCGACGCCGAGACCCGGGAACCAGGCGCTCGTGGTCTCAATTGGGCCAGACGTCCGGCTACAAGGCGCGCCTGCCCAAAACAACGGCACCATGGACAGTCCGTGTGCTCGCAGTCTCAGCAGAGGGTCTGGTGACCATCTTCAGCCCAGCGCCGGTCACCGCCACGTCCGGCCAACGGGTTCCGCTTGAATCCGTTGCCGCTAGAGGTGCAGCCGCCGCTGCCTCGTCGTTGGAAGAGCTCGCAGCTACACAGCCACCCGCACTATCATCTTCGACGGCTACGGCCGTTTTACATGATCTCCGCGACGCCGATATTATCATCAGGAGTCTCGGTCGCGACCAGATACTCGGCATTCGGTTACCGTTGGCCGCCAAGTCAGCGCCCCAAGAAGAGTCTCTCCGCCTCATGGTGAGTAGAATCCGTGGTTATCTTTCACTATAACAATACATTATTAGGTACTCGGGTTTTACGCGTGTTTTTTGACTTGATGCTTCGGTTTGAAAATTTCACAGCTGATTCGATCTGTAGGTGGAAATTTGCTGATAAATATATAAACGGTATTTTTTTCATACTTGTTGACGACCGAGAATCTCCATAACATTCCGTATTCGGTATACTCCTCGGGTAACAAATCGAGAGAGAGAAAAAAAAGAGCCGCGTGTATATGGAAATATATATGATTTATCAAATACCATCTTTCTATACGAGTAAAAAGTTTTATATGGTGCCAGTCGGGGCTAAAAAAAATAAAATAAGCCAAAAATTTTCCTTCGCGCCGTGACGGTCTGTGCTTTGCATAATTTAGTAGTGTATATTATATAGAGCTCACCTAACGTCACGAAAAGGACGTGGATTGATGAGAGTGAGATCCACGCGTCGACGACGGTATAATATTATATATAGTCCAGAATCTCCCTATCGGATTGATGATGACTTACTTCGTGCGTGGTTGCGCGTCGTATATCATACAGTATACACGCCATGTACATACGGGATGATATACCTATATATTATATGTACATATGTGTGTCATAAAGGAAAGTATGAATATTTGTTACGCGGGGCACGTTGCACCCCCGCCTGGCCCGAAGTGGGTTCGTACCCTGTCGTTTTGCTCTCGTTCGCACACACGTATGCATGGAGTAAACTGTATAGGACGAATAATAATAACAATAAAAATAAAAACGAAAACTAAAAAACCCGCGGCCATTTGCGTCATGTTTGTCGATCGATTTCCCGTGTGGATTCATTCGTTTGAAATTATTTTTTTCTTTGACGATTATATATACCTACGGGTTACAGTCTAAAATTTGGTCGTTATTTTCGTTATTATTTTCTACTCTACGCGTGGGACATAATAACGTAACTATATGTATATTCATCGTTGTAGGTATCTGCTTATATCTATACTTACATATATGTGCACAAGTGTATTACACGAAAATATTTTTGTCATCTCATTGTGCATTCCATTATGAAGATGATGATGATGATGGTGATAATAATAATAACAATAATAATAATAATAATAATAATATAATAATGGATACGAATTTTAACGAACCAGAAAATTATAACTGTATAATGTATATAGTATATGAGCGTGGAGGTGTTTTTTTTTTTTATTTTGTTTAGCACACAGCTCGTTAAAATGACAAAACAATAATCAGTGTATATCAAATCCATCGTCTTACATTTTTTTGTTCTTAAATCTTAAAGACAAAATCGTCTCCGTGGACTAAAATATATAGCTTATAGTGCACAGAGTCCGGCGGTCTCTACGAAAGCTATCAATTAAGGTGTGACAGTAATAAACTAATAGACCATATTTAATATTAAATTACAGTGAACCGTCTATAAAATTGAGAAATACCACAACACATAAAAAAAAAAATGTGTGGCAAGCGAGCGATAATTACGAAGCGTAGTAACCAATATTAATCAATTATCGAATTTTATTAAATTATAAATATTTGGGTGTAAGTATACCATAAAAGACAAAATATTAAATAAAATTATCCATTTTTTTTTTTTTTTTTTTTAGTACTTAACAAATACGTTATTTTTTGTATTCAAAGTCTTAAATTTGAAATGTGATTGAGTATATTGAATTATATTTTTTATTTTATAAATTAAAAAATATTACTAAAATTATTTTCTTCACAAAAATAAAAAATTAAAGTCTTACTAAAATACGTAAACTAAATAAAATATGATTATTTAAACCTATAAATTTAAACTTAATATTTTGAATATTAAAAAACGAATTGCATCATGTGATTAACTTTGTAATACAATTGGCATTTCTATTTAGGGGGGAGGTGCGCCTCCATAAGCCCCAAATAAAAACGATTCTGGTCTGTCGATCGATTGTTTTGTTTGAGTCTCTGAGAACAGCATTGGTATACTATAATTAATCATATTATTTATTATTATATATGCGACATCATTGTATTACAAATAATCCGATCGAAGGAATACAAGTTCTGTATTAGCACCGCTACAGTGGCTGGTGGGAAATCAAAGGATCGCCCCCGTGTCCGGGAATAAAAACCGTGTCGATCTTTTCACGCGAACCGGAAAATCGTTTGAAACACGATACGTTATGATAAAATTATTATTGTTCGAACACCTTGTCGTCGTTAACGCCGCCTGCGAGTAATGATAAAATACGTCATAATAATATGCCGCGCTGAGCAACTGAGAATAAATCATATAATATAATATAAAACGCGGGCGAACTGCGTGTCGACTTTGCGGCTCGTGGAACAATAAAAACGGTAAATTGAGCTGTAAATTTTTATAATAATAATAACGATAATAAAAACTTCCAGTAAACAACGACCGTAAAGTATCGCGCGTAACGACTTTGTTACGTAGCACACCTGTAATAATATATTATATTATTAAGATTATTGTTTTTTCACGTTCTCTGTGATCGTAATGATTCCGAGCAAGAACAATATCATCTTATATAACAATATAATATCTTGAATTATAATTTATTCTACGCTGGCTCGACATATACACACAAACAAGGCCGTATCAAAGAGAGGTCCGTAGATCCCGGACCCCCCCCCTCCCCTCTAAAATTCTTAAGTAGTTTAAAAATTTGTAAAATAACTATTTTTAATATCAACATATATAAATAGTTATAATTACAATTTGTTTAATTGACTATAATTATTGACACAAAAATATTATTATAATTATACACCGTCGTCCGCCATACAGTGATAAGCACGTCAAATTATTTTATTAAATTTGTCATAATAAGTAAACAAGACAATAAAAATGTACTATTAAATTATTATTCTAAACTCAGGTACGTTACATTATTTCATATATTATATTGTGTATTATTATTTTTAATTTTTTTATTTATACCTATACCCATAATTTAACATAGTTTTAATTCAAGTACTTTATTTTTAACTAAATCTCAAGACCTAAATTCAGTAAATACACAATATACATTAAGTATACAGGGTTCGGATCCTCTACGAAAAAAATTTCTGGGTACGGCCATGTACACACATTTATAAAATGCTGTCGTCAGCCGCGTGATTTCGTTGTGATATTACGGTAATACAATATAATATAATATGTTGTTATTATTTTAGTAGTTGTTGATATCCTCGTCGTTGTCGGCTGTTGCGGCAAAATGAATAGGTTCTTCCGCGTATAATATATTGTATAATATACACCCATAGTTGCGCGTGAGAAATTCGACACCTGCGATACGCACTAGCGTCAACGCTGCCGTTCCCCACGGCCGACCGATAATAATAATATTAATAATTGGCTCGGTCTCTCTCCTGGTTCACGTGAGTGCGCCTCCCCCGTCGTCGCGCACTCACGCATGTACATATTAGATACTATATATAATGCTACACGCACGTATAATATTATAATAATAATAATAATGGTACCTAATATTAATATTGAGCGCGCGCGTATATTAATCTAATTAAAGCACACACGTCCCGTAAACGTGTGTGCAACATAATATACGCGTTCTAAATAATTGTAATAATCGTGAACGCGTCACACCATGGCTGGGTTGTGTATTCCATACCTGACATAATCTAATTATCACATATGATGGAAAAATGTGAATATTTTCTAGATTTTCGTTAAAATAAAAATTAATTTTCATTTCAGACGTTTATAATCGTGGGTTCGCTGTCACCCGAGTAATAATATTATTATGTACATAACGTGGTCATACGTCCCCAAAAAAATCCAAAAATTTCCGTTTTGAAAAAGATGATATTTAGCATTTTATTCCGCTAATAAAGGACACGCAATATGTATTATATGCGTATATCAAGTCGAATATTAGGTATACATTCTTGTTTTTTTCTCAAAATGTCCAATTTTTTTTGTATTTGAATCGTGCGTAAAGAAATAGTACATAATAACACGTGTGACAGCATAGACGACCTTCGATCTGATGAGTGTTCCGACGATCCTCCGCGGCGGTTTCGACGGGCGCCACTTCGATCGGCCGCCAAATAATGTGTGTGTTATCTGATCGGACGAGGGTGAGAGAAAAATAAAACGCGTCAACGGGCCGGTTATTGATTACGATTTTATATATTGTATAGATACTATCGTATATATATTCGGCCGTTACACACCCACGCACGCCACCCTTACCAGTGCTCAAACATTTTTATATCCCATTAAAAAATATGTCTTGGGTGATCGAAAAACATTTTACGATAATTCATTAAATCCCTTCTTATATATATATATATATATAGTGTCTGACTGTATACGAAGAAGATAATATTCTAAAAAAAAATCGTTTACAATTCTGTAAAAGAACGATGAATAGAATATATTATCACTCTTCCTTATAAAATGTAAATAATAATAAATATTCGGAAGATATTACGATTCTTCGGTGTCTCGTATGTTGTGTGCGTGTTAAACGAAGTGGAGCCGAGAAAAATATGTGAATTTCAGTTTCAATAAGAAATAAAACATCCATTAAAATTCCATCAAGTTTTGAGTATAAACGTTTACCGTTCTTTATTCGAATCGCGGCTGTCGTCACCAAAGTAATTGTTGAAATCGTTTTTCGCGTTATTTCTATGTTTTTTGTCATCATGATATGAAAACCGTTATTTAGATTTTGTTTTCTTTAGAGAGCACTTGTACACAATAATTATACCTAACAATTATTTACAAAAGACAGAAAAAACTTTAAAAAATGAATATGTCATTTATTTAAAAAAAAAAAAAAAAAAACATGACATTAAAATAACGATAACAGACAGTGCGTTGACTATTGTATCGTGTGATTTAAAAAGGGTGAGACCAACATTTATACTCGTCCAGCACTCATCGATACCTTATTTTTATTTTGTTAGTTCGACGTTGGCTAGACTGGTTGCGTG